TCCTATGGCAGTAGGAACACTGTTTCAACTCTGGGTGAGGCTTATTACTGGTGTGATCCTCTTTGGGTTTCACATTACTCTCTTTACCACCGGGCACCTTTGAAAAAGTGCTTCCTTGACCTGCTGTTGGGTACATGTGGGACCCAAATCTGACTGAGGAGTTTACTACTTGACCAGATCCTTGTCTATTTGATTGAATTTTATTTTTAAAAGTTACTTTATGCATCAACTCATATTCATCTGCTAATTTAGCCAACTCATAGATATCTCTGGGTAATTTCTCTGCCAAATACAAAGCCACATTAGAAGGTATGCAAGATAAAAATTCTTCTACTAGGAGTAAATTTTTAAGAGAGTCCAGATCCATAATTTTTTCTGCATCTAACCATTTATTAAACATGTGATATTTCTCTTGTGCAAATTCTTCCAAGGTTTGACTTGGGTCTCGTCTCAGTTGTCTAAACTTCTGCCTATAAGCCTCAGGAACAAGTTGATAAGCAGTAAGGATGGCTGCTTTTACCTTATCATAGTCAAAACTGTTACTCAAAGGCATAGCTGCAAATATCTTCTGTGCCTTTCCCACCAACTCACCTTGAAGAAGAGATACCCATTGTGTTTCAGGCCACTCCATACTCTGTGCCAACTTTTCAAAATGTATGAAGAATTGGTCTGGGTCAGACTCACAGAATAGAGGAAACTTGACATTTTTGTGAATCTTTAACTGCCCAGGTGTTCCTAAATCGTCAACACCGGTATTTTCTGATCTAATTCCCAAATCTGCTAGCCTAATCTGTAACTCTTTCTTTTTCTGAGCTAGCTCCACTTCTAACCTCTTCATAGCTAGTTCTTGAGCTTGCTCTGCATCTATCCTCTTCTGAGCTTGCTCTGCCTCTACTGAGCTTGCTCTGCCTCAAACTGCAAATTCTTTAGTTACAATTCTGCCTGCCACTGCATCTGAGTCTCTACCTTTCCTGTAGTTACAACATTTGCACCACTGGTGGACGGGGACTGCTCTAATATTTCCTGTGGGAGAATTTAATCATCTACCCAGTGCGTCATTATCTCTCTTAGCAGTTCCGTCTTCACCATTCCCATGTGCAATAATAGTCCATAATGCTTGCCAACAGCCACTAGGATAGACTTTTTTGCCGCTTTCAAACCCTCAACACTAGGATTGTCGACAATTTGTTGTGCTACCAAATCCATTTTTTAGTGTGCTAAGATACAGCAGACTCCAACACAATTTATAATTCTGCACCCACCTTTCTCTTTTTAGGCTGAGAATTTGTTTTGAAAACTGATAAAGACAGTGCTTAGTTTACTTGACTACCCTGTCAACTGGTAATTTTTTTGCACTCTAGAACACGCACAAAAATTCTTAAATCACTTTTCATAAAGATTAATAAAATGTACATAAATAAGTAATGAAGTACATATTTATATTATACTAATATTAAAATATTCTAAATTTCTACACAAGTTAAAGTAAAAAAAAAAATAAGCTACACAATTTTTATATCAGGTTACATCTACAGGCTATCCACTTTTATTAGGCTTTCGATCAGCTGCTCAATCAACCCGTCCTCTTAAAAAGAACGTCACTTTTGGCTGGTATGCGCGATATGGCTAAATTTGGACGTAATTTGAAATGAAATCGACTCACAAAAGTGACGTTCTGTTCCGTTTTCTATTTGAGTCGTCCGGCGTACGCGCAGAGGTTATAAGAGGACACTTTAAATTCACGTTTTTCATAACGTTTTGAAACTTTATGAGAATTTCCTGCCCACCTAACCTATCAGAGGACCCTTAACTTACTGTTGTTGAAAAAAGAAATCCCAAATTTATTTTAATTTTTTTTTCATTTTCAAATTACGTCCAAATTCGGCCATACGGGCAAACGGCCAAAAGCGACGTTCTTTTTAAGAGGACAGGTTGCTCAATATGTGAGGTGCTCTCAGACAGGCTACCCAATTCTATCACGGGGGTGTGTTACTGTTGTTATCAGCCGTGATACGTTTTTGTTGTCATAGAGAGCTAGTGAGAGTTTGGTGGTGGTGGTCCTTACAATGTTGTCTAGGTAGTATGAGGGGTAAGGGAAACAGCCTAGTACACGTCACAAATTTATACGTACAAGTCACAGGATTGCATTTAACAAGGTGTTTTCCTTACAACATAAGATCACTATGTATTTTAACTCAAGTGGCTCTGACCACCCCACGGCTCACTGTCCCATTCCTGGTGTCATGCACCCAGCCACAAACCGCTACCATCCAACGACACATATACTTTTGCCTCTAGGAAACCTGGACTCTTATAAAACCTCTCCAACTTCTGCAATATTACTCTACCCAATCTTGCAAGCCTGGATATAGAGAAGGACAGGCTTATCTGACTGAACGGCCGGAGAAAACCCCTCAAATAGCAGGAACGGTCAGCAGTGCTACACCTCCCCCTTCAGTCAAGATGGCGTCCCCCTCTCTTGCCTCATCGCTCCTTAATACTCTACTCTTTACATATGCTATCAAACACATTAATGATTTTATTTATTATATTCCCCCATGCATACTTTTTATAGAGTCCATTTTTCCCTTACATAGTAAAGCTATTCAAGTTCACATTATTTCTGATGATCTCCAGCTGAGAAGGCGCTACTTTACTGGGCGGAGTAATAATGATTACTCGCGGCCTCTCGAGTAATTCTCGCGGCTGGAGATTTATATTAATATACACTCTCCCTGTGGCCACCAACATTTTACAACCGAAACCAACCTCCACAGGAGGTAAGGTTCGTAACATATAGCATGCAAGGTGATGAAGAAAATCGTGAGGAGATGGCTCATAGAGCATCTGAAGGGGAATAGCTTTGTAACACATCACCAGCTTCAGAGATGGTAAATCGTGCCTCACAGGTTTAATAGAATTCTATAACAAAACAATGAAAATTAGGCAAGAAAGAGAAGGGTGGGCAGACTGCATATTCTTGAACTGTCAGAAAGCCTTTGACACAGTACCCCAAGAAAGGCTGTTACAAAAGTTCGAGCAACAGCCAAGAGTAAAAGGTAAGGTGCTCCAGTGGATAAGACAGTATCTAAGCAACAGGAAACGGAGAGTAACTGTGAAGGGGGAGACATCAGAGTGGCGAGATGTCACCAGCGGAGTCCCACAGGTCTGTACTTGGACCCATCCTGTTTCTAATATATTTAAACGATCTTCCCGAGGGTATAGACACATTCCTTTCAATGTTTGCTGATGATGCAAAAATTATGAGAAGAGTCAAGACAGATAAAGAGAGACAGAGACTACAGGAAGACCTGGACAAACTGGAGGAATGGTCTAGAAAATGGCTACTAAAGTTCAACTGAGGAAAGTGTTAAGTAATGAAATTAGGCAAAGGGAGCAGGAGGCTGAACACAAGGTACCATCTGAGAGGTGAAATCCTGCAAGCGTCAAATAGAGGGAAAGATCTGGGCGTAGATATCACACCGAACCTGTCCCCAGAGGCCCACATCAAAAGGATATCTTCAGCAGCATATGCTAGGTTGGCCAACATAAGAACTGCCTTTAGAAACTTGCGTAAGGAATCGTTCTGGACCCTGTATACCACTTATGTCAGACTAATCCCGGAATATGCGGCTGCAGCCTGGAGTCCATATCTAGTTAAATACAAAACAATGTTAGAGAAGATTCAGCTGTATGCAACCAGACTCGTCCCGGAACTGAGAGGCATGAGCTACGAGGAAAGGCTAAAGGAGCTGAACCTCACGTCCCTCGAAAACAGAAGAGTAAGGGGAGACATGATAACCACCTACAAAATTCTCAGGGGAATTAACAGGGTGGACAAAGACAAACTCTTTAGCACGGGTGGATCACAAACAAGAGGACACAGGTGAAAACTTAGTACCCAAATGAGCCACAGAGATATTAGAATTTTTTTTTTCAGTGTCAGAGTAGTAGACAAATAGAATGCATTAGGAAATGATGTGGTAGACGTAGACGCCATTCACAGTTTCAAGTATAGATATGATAGAACCCAGTGGAGTCTGAAACCTGTACACCAGTTGATTGATAATTGAGAGGCGGGACCAAAGAACCCCAAGCTCAAACTCCACAAGCACAACTAGTAAGTAAAACTAGGTAAGTTAGGTAACCACTGGGACTACGACCGTGCGAGCAGGGCAACACACACACACCCACATACATACACACACATCAGGACAGGTGCACCACAGGTGCTCACCCTACGCTAACATACCACCTCTTAACCTCACGACCGCACGCGCAGGGCACCACTCACCAGAGCTGAGACGGATTGCCTTACGCTCACCTGACCAGGTGCTTGCGCACGGTTGTAGCCATGAATTTCCCTACTCACCAACACCTTTATCGAAGTTACAAATGCCTACACTCTCGTCAAACTCACAAACGCCAACACCTTCGTCAAACTCACAAACGCCAACACCTTCGACAAACTCACAAACACCAACACCTTCGACAAACTCACAAACACCAACACCTTCGACAAACTCACAAACACCAACACCTTCGACAAACTCACAAACACCAACACCTTCGACAAACTCACAAACACCAACACCTTCGTCAAACTCACAAACACCAACACCTTCGACAAACTCACAAACGCCAACACCTTCGTCTAACTCACAAATGCCAACACCTTCACCAAACTCACAAACGGAGCTGAGAACAGACTAGGCAGAAGCTTGACACATCTCTCACATGAAGAACTGTTTGAGTCTTTGTAATTCATTGTTAGAGAAGAAAAGTGGACTGATCCAGAGAGTAATGAGGAATTAATAAACAAAAAGAGTTTGAAGAGGTAAAAAACAAAACAAAAAATCCAAATAGAAAGGCAACTACGGATAACTGGGTTCACCTTGACGCTCGGGCAGTGGTGAAGAACGGCGGTGGTTTGGTGTATTGTGTTCTTACCTACAATGAACTGTTACTGTACTCACAACTTAACAAAGTGTCTGTTGCAGGAACGGATGATGATACTTCGTTCCCACATGAAATTATACTCGATCCAACGACCGACATTCTCGGTATCTGGAGGGGCATGGAGGCACAGGTAAAGTCATCCTCAACCTCTCTACCTACTTCTCCACCTTCTGAAAAGCCTTAGAAGCACAGGTTATCTTGAAACTTTACCACCACTGGTAAAAGTTCACATACAACAACAAATTTTCCCTATTGGGTTAAATTCACTGACATTGTATTGTAAAAGAAAAAGTGTATTTCTGAAATTGATCATTGAACAAATAGTTACGAGAGTAAGTTAATTTATTTGTGCCTAATACTATGCTTTTTGCCCTCTTGATGCATGTTAAACAATGACTGTTTTCCTTGTCTTGAAAATAAGATGAGGTTAAGTATTTTATTTTCCATCCGATTATCCATCTATTCATTCATCTTTCGATTCATCTATAAAATTATCTTTTAATCTATCTAAATATCTATAAATCTTTCCATCCTTCTGTCCATTACTCCATTTACTTGTCTATAAAGCTATACCTCTGTCTCTCCATCTATCCATCAGTATTTATCTATCCATCCATCAATCTACTGTCTGTCTGTCTGTCTGTCTGTCTGTCTGTCTGTCTGTCTGTCTGTCTGTCTGTCTGTCTGTCTGTCTGTCTGTCTGTCTGTCTGTCTGTCTGTCTGTCTGTCTGTATGTCTGTCTGTTTGTTTGTCGCAGTTTTCATCTGTTTTTCTGTCTCTCTCTCTTATCAATAACTATCAAAGGAAAGGTCTGTTTGAACGTCCGTCTGTTCAGAGTTGGAGGCCTGACGCTCGAGGCTAGCCTCAACCAATTGATAGAAGGAATGATCTGGGGTGCGGAATGAACATAGGCTAGTCGAGGTCGCCAGAATTCAAAAGGGAATGGCGTGCTGTGGCCACATTATGAACCCCACCTGCGCAGCCTGCCAACCGTACAGCTAAATATTTTGAAAACAAACATTTTAAAACCATATTTTTTCTTATATTAAAGTACACCCTAATTCACTGATCTCAGGGAGGAAAATCCTGCTATACATAATTTGACCATAGTGGCATAAATACTATCCTCACACAGCTTCAATGTTTTCTAAAGATAAGGACCCATTTCAAAGTAAATGGGATAGCTACTAATTTTTTTTTAGTATTACACACTGCGAAGATGACGACCTGACAGAGACAGGACAAACAGACGCAAAAGCAAGGACAAAGGCCGAGAGAGAGAGAAACTGACACAGAGGCAGAGTTAAACAGTAGTAGATGGATGCATAGACGGAGGGATTGATGGATGGAGAGATGAGTAGATGGATAGGCATTTGAATGGATGGATTGATAGATAGATACATCCATGGAAAGAAAGATATGTAGATAGATATGATGGTTGGATATTTTGATAGATGGATTGATGGATAGATGGATAAATTTATACTTAGATTGACATATAGATGCATGGATAGATAGGTGGAAGTATAGATGGATGAATAGATGGATAAGTGGGTGGGAAGATTGATGGATAGGTAGATGGATGGATATACAGGTATATAATTGGATATAGAGATAGGTATATGGATAGGTGAATAGATTGATAGATAGAGAGATTGACAGTTGATAGATAGAGAGATTGACAGTTGAGAGATACAGAGACAGACCTGGACAATGCCTGGTACTCCTCTAGTAACAAATAAAATTGTCTACCACGGGCCTGTTGGTGTTCGCCGGTGATTGGAACTCATCAGTGTATGAGCTCATCATACTTAAAAATAGAATAGTTACCCCCATTTACTTTGTGACAGGGGTGAGGCTCCAGAAACCTTAGAGCTGAGGGTGGAGTGTCTGTTGGATGCGATTATGGGCAAATGAATGAAAGCAGAAGTTTTGTGTTTATTTTCCATGATCAGTGTATATTGGTGTACAGTACTACAAGGAAAAAATTACATTTGAAATTATTGTTTTTAAAATATTTTGCTGTGTTGCTGGCGGGCAGTGCCAAAAATCATCATTGGTGTGTGTGTGTGTGTGTGTTGGGAGAGTGAATGTTTTCACTAAAATTTGCTTGCAGGGTCGAGCTAGGCACCTAGCACTGCTTTCCGAACGTTCTTAGATTGATGCACTGACTCATTTCTTATGCTTTTATCATATTTACATTTAAAATTTGGAATAGATATAGCTTCAAGGACTTCTGCGTCTACCCTATTCTAATTACTGACAACTCTAACAATGAAAAAGTTCTTCCTGATGTCTCTATAACTCCCTGATGTCCTGAAGAGACCTGATGTCTCTTTCCTAAAGTTAATTTCTCTCAGTCTTTCCTCAAATCTCATTCCCCTCAGCTCGGAACGAGTTTCGTTGCATATCTTTGAACCTTTCCTAGTTTCTCCTTGTCCTTTATAAGGTAAAGGTTCCATGACGGGAACACATATTCAAAAGTGGGTCTTACCCTCGCTGTTATCAGCTTGGAAAGCTCTTCTAATTTTCTGAAGGATACACAGATGTTGGCAAATATGCCATAGGCAGCTGTTGTTATTCAGCTAATGTGGGCTTCTAGCTTCAGATGTTGGGATTATGTCCACTCCCAGGTCTTCTCCTTTTCTGATTGAAGAATTTGTCTTCCCTTCATATTCTACTTCTGTATCGGTCTTAGCACTCCTGTTCCAGACCTCATAGCATTGCATTTGCCTGGTTTAAACTCTAGCAGACATTTTTCAGACCACTTCTGGAGTGTGTCCAAATCCGTTGACAATGCCTAAATGAGCATAGTATGCTAATAATAAGTAGTATTAATTTATATTTGAGAAAATTCTTATTTTGAATAAACAGCATGTTATAATATTTGGAGGCGTTTTTGGTTCAACAGCTGAGTGGAATGGACTGGGTCTGTGGACGGGTTTCAAAAAACAGTTGTACGTTCTGATAGATATTGATATTATTCTCTGAAGAAGAAGTTCGACCTTGTATGTGTGTCTAGAAGATGTGGACCGATGAAGCTTTTGTCAATATTTATGAGATGCAAAGGAAAAGTGAATGTAAGTTAGGCTTTGCAGTATATTCCATGATGGATGAGGTGAGGTGTTAACAAGTCTAGGGGCCGGGGCGCTCGTGTTCTACATTATTACTGATGGTCTTTGGCAATACATGTCACAAGGGACATAAATTTGGTTTTGGTCTTGTAAATTGTATAATGTGCCTAGCTAGGAGTAATCAGGCTATTGATATATTGATGTGTGTGTTAAATATGTAGTGATTTAGCGATGTCTAAACATTGTAGCATTTTGTTATTGTTTCAATGTTGTGTGTATAGTCATATACGTTGATGGTCTGGTTGTGTGCAGAAACTTTGTGATCTCTGAGAGAGCCTTGTTTTTTGTTAATTGTCATAACAGCTGTTGTCTTCCCTGTATGAGGAAAGATGGAGCTGGTAGTCAAGAAATTGAATTTACTTTATAATGTATATCTAAAGGAGAGAATGCCTGTCTGTCTGAGGTTGAAGCCAGATGCTTTTGGGCGTCCTTCTCCCAACTTTACATTGGGAATGGTCTAGGGTACGGAACGGCAAAGGCTTTTCGGGGTTACAAAGTTCAAGAGGGAACGTTACAGGGACATTTTTTGACCTACCGCGATAATTTTTGGCCCTACCCGCTGGGTAGGGCCACCTTGCTTGCTTGCACCTTGCTAAATATGTTGCAAAAATAGTAAATATTAAATTAATATACACCATGAAGAAAGCAGTAGGATCCATAAGATTAATTCGAACCTGCTCACTTGGTACTACCTAGCTAGGGCCCTAAACCACCACGCCTCAACATAGCAATGCATCATGGGATTCCACTGAATCCTATAAGATTCTTGAGGCTTACAACAGAATCCCAATCAGGATTTTAAGCAATGGCCCCATGCGCTCTGCTTAATGGTCCATGTGGACAATGCTTAAAACCCTGATTGGGCTTTAGTTGTAAGCCTCAGGAATCCTAGAGGATTCAGTGGAATCTCAGGTTGTATTGCTTCTGACCATGTCGTGGTGTAGTGGTCTAAGGCGCAAGCTTGGGAGTACTAAGTGAACAGGTTCGAATCCTCCTCATGGCTCCTACTGATTTTCTCATTGTTATATCACGTTAAGTGATTTCGCTGTACAACATACACCATAATATACTGATCTATATATAATTGACAGAGTTATCAAATTTTCTACTTCTCATAACTTTGGCCGTAGTACCATTACAAACATGCCTACAACACAGGGCCATCTCCGGATGCCTGGGACAGCCCAAGGATAACACACCACCCTAAAAGAGATTTAAAGCCATAATGAATGTAATAAAGCCATTAAAAATATATATTTTTTAAAACTACATTAGCAAATCTTTTTTTCAGTGGCTAAATATATATTTTTTTAATCTAATATTCAATGTTATTAACTGATCTCAGGAAAATGTTGTGATCTCTGAGAGGTTCTTGTTGTTATTGTTGTTTCAGCACTGTGAGGCACCTCATAGGCGATGTTGTCTGGCTTTCATGAAGAAAGATGGATCTGACAGTCATGGTGGTGGATGGCAGAGAAGGAGATGATGAGTAGGGAGACTGGTGAAGGGTATATGGAAGGATGATGAAGGAGACGGGAAATCTAGCGAAGTAGAGAGAACCAAGTGAAGGGTAGTGAGTGGTAGAGAAAGGTGGTAAAGGGAAGTGAAGACTGTTAAGGATAAGGAAGGTGGTGATGGGAAGGGAAGGTGGTGAGACAGGGAAGGTGGTGATGGGCAGGGAAGGTGGTGATGGGCAGGGAAGGTGGTGATGGGCAGGGAAGGTGGTGATGGGCAGGGAAGGTGGTGATGGGCAGGGAAGGTGGTGATGGGCAGGGAAGGTGGTGATGGGCAGGGAAGGTGGTGATGGGCAGGGAAGGTGGTGATGGGCAGGGAAGGTGGTGATGGGCAGGGAAGGTGGTGATGGGCAGGGAAGGTGGTGATGGGCAGGGAAGGTGGTGATGGGCAGGGAAGGTGGTGATGGGCAGGGAAGGTGGTGATGGGCAGGGAAGGTGGTGATGGGCAGGGAAGGTGGTGATGGGCAGGGAAGGTGGTGATGGGCAGGGAAGGTGGTGATGGGCAGGGAAGGTGGTGATGGGCAGGGAAGGTGGTGATGGGCAGGGAAGGTGGTGATGGGCAGGGAAGAAGGTGATGGGCAGGGAAGGTGGTGATGGGCAGGGAAGGTGGTGATGGGCAGGGAAGGTGGTGATGGGCAGGGAAGGTGGTGATGGGCAGGGAAGGTGGTGATGGGCAGGGAAGGTGGTGATGGGCAGGGAAGGTGGTGATGGGCAGGGAAGGTGGTAATTGGCAGGGAAGGTGGTGATGGGCAGGGAAGGTGGTGATGGTAATTGGCAGGGAAGGTGGTGATGGGCAGGGAAGGTGGTGATGGGCAGGGAAGGTGGTGAGGTGGGAGCAGGGAAGGTGGTGATGGGCAGGGCAGGGGTGGTGATGGGCAGGGAAGGTGGTGATGGGCAGGGAAGGTGGTGATGGGCAGGGAAGGTGGTGATGGGCAGGGAAGGTGGTGATGGGCAGGGAAGGTGGTGATGTGCAGGGAAGGTGGTGATGGGCAGGGAAGGTGGTGATGGGCAGGGAAGGTGGTGATGGGCAGGGAAGGTGGTGATGGGCAGGGAAGGTGGTGATGGGCAAGGAAGGTGGTGATGGGCAGGGAAGGTGGTGATGGGCAGGGAAGGTGGTGATGGGCAGGGAAGGTGGTGATGGGCAGGGAAGGTGGTGATGGGCAAGGAAGGTGGTGATGGGCAGGGAAGGTGGTGATGGGCATGGGAAGGTGGTGATGGGCAGGGAAGGTGGTGATGGGCAGGGAAGGTGGTGATGGGCAGGGAAGGTGGTGATGGGCAGGGAAGGTGGTGATGTGCAGGGAAGGTGGTGATGGGCAAGGAAGGTGGTGATGGGCAGGGAAGGTGGTGATGGGCAGGGAAGGTGGTGATGGGCAGGGAAGGTGGTGATGGGCAGGGAAGGTGGTGATGGCCAAGGATGGTGGTGATGGGCAGGGAAGGCTTTGATGGGCAGGGAAGATAATGACGGGCAGGGAAGGTGGTGATGGGCAGGGAAGGTGGTAATGGGCAGCATAGGGTTTGATGGGCAACGAGGGAGGTGATAGGCAGGGAATGTGGTAATGGGCAGAGAAAGTGGTGATGGGCAGGGATTGTGGTGATGGTCAGAGACGGTGGTAATTGGCAGCGAAGGTGGTGATAGGCAGGGAAGCTGGTAATGGGTAAGGATGGTGGTGATTGGCATGGAAGGTGGTGATAGGCAGGGAAGGTTTTGATGGGCAGGGCAGGTGGTGATGGGCAGGGCAGGTGGTGATGGGCAGGGAAGGTGGTGATGGGCAGGTAAGGTTGTGATGTGTCAGGGAAGGTGTGTGTGTGTGTCTGTGTTTGTAAGGTCGTTGCTGACCACTGCTCCTATTCCCTCAGGTTGCTGCCGGCAAGGCCAAGAACATTGGACTGTCCAACTTCAACGCTGATCAAGTTCAGCGTATAATTAAAGGTAACGTGGACCTTCATATTATATTAGACAAATTACTAAGACACACATTAAGATATTGTTACTAAGCTGTACCTGGTGTAAAGTCATCATCTTCCCTTTCCTCTCCTGTCACAAGCCTTGCCCAAGGTCTCCTGTCTCTCCTGAGGGTGTGCTGTCTTCTGAAGGTTACCTTCTAAAACAATTCTCTGCATTGTTAGTACCAAGAAGATATTTTGTCAAGGTTTTCATAAAGAATCTGTATTAGGTGAGTGGTTAGCTAAGTTTAGATCAATAGTCGTAGTTATAATTACCATCCTCAGTCTGTTCAAAGACGTAAAATGTTTCATGTATACAACAGTATTCATCATTTTATACATTTCATCTTCTGAGGAGCAGTTGTAATACGGTTCAGATTCATGACGATGGTACCTCATTGCCTGAATAATGGCGAAATAATGAGGCTGATTATAAATATTATTGAACAGTTGAAGTCATTGTTTGATGCATGCCTCCAAGACAACAGAGACGTACAACACTCTTATTCCTTGTCGTCCTTGTCGGGTGTTTCTAGATGGTCAATAGACAATTCACAATGATTAATGGTCTGTCGACTGAAGCCAAACATTGAGTGTCGCGGAACTTTTAGCGACCCGCACTACGGTTAGATGACCCACGCTTCTGTTAGCGACCCACGCTACTGTTAGCGACCCACGCTACTGTTAGCGACCCACGCTACTGTTAGCGACCCACGCTACTGTTAGCGACCCACGCTACTGTTAGCGACCCACGCTACTGTTAGCGACCCACGCTACTGTTAGCGACCCACGCGACTGTTAGCGACCCACGCTACTGTTAGCGACCCACGCGACTGTTAGCGACCCACGCTACTGTTAGTGACCCACGCTACTGTTAGCGACCCGGGCATCAAACTACGTCACTTTTGTTCAGTATGATCTTATATCTTTTTTTGTATGTCAAATATTACTTTAACAGAATGGCTAGGATGACGTTAGGATGACAGAATGGAGTGACGACGTTATATATCGAATACACATTCTTCTATAATTTGTAGTGTATTTACACACAGACATACACACAGGGGGAGAGGGAGCGCAGGGAGAGAGGGGAATCAGAGAACCACAACCCCGAACCCTACAATCCCAGAGGGGAGTGGGGAACCCTCCTCAAACAGTGCAACAGTCACAAGGAGTGGGGCACCACCCCCACATTCAACCCAACAGACACCTCACCTGCCCCATTCCCTGAAATCCCCCCACGAAGTACTCAACTAGGGCACCCTCCCCCCTCCTCCCACTCACCCCTCTCCCCAGGACCTCCCTTTTCCCCCATCCCCTAAGCCCTCCCTTCTCCCATATGCCCTCCCATCTCTCAGACCCCCAAGCCCTCCATTCTCGCCCTCCCCCCCTATGCCCCCCAATCTCCCCCACCCCACCTAAGCCTTCCCCTCTCCACCACTCCTTTCTTCCTCACCCACCTCAGTCTTCCCTTTCCCCACACGCCTTCCCATGCCCTCCCCTTTTCTGCCCCCTCCAAGCCTCTCCTCCCCCCATGCCCCCGCAAGTCTCCCCATTTCCCACACCCCCCAACCCTCCCTCTCTCACCCACCCCCCAACACTCCCCCTCTCACTCTTCCCCCAGTCCTCCCCCTCTCACCCACCCACCTTCCCCTCCCCTCCCCCTCTCACCTACCCCCCCCTCCCAATCCCTTCCTCATTCACCAGTCTCCCCGTACCAGTTCCTCCCAGCCCCTGCTCACCCCAGATCCGCCAGGTCCCCCCAGAGGAGAAGCAGAAGAAAGTCAGTTTCAGGTTAATGTACTCGAACATAGATGGGATCACAAGCAAGACAAGTGAACTAAGGAGAAGAGCACATGAAATGAACCCAGATGTAATAGAATTCAATGAAACAAAACTCTCAGGAATCATAACGAATACCGTGTTTCCCCAGGAGTACACAGTAATAAGGAAAGAGAGGGAAGGTAGGGCAGGAGGCGGAGTGGCCCTACTAATGAGAATGGAATGTAGTTTCAAGGAGATAGCTATCCCGGGCTGTGAGGGTTTCAGAGACTATATAGCAGGCACCATGACAATGGGAGGACCAAGAATACTAGTAGCAGTGATATATAAATCTCCACCAAATGACAGAAGACACAGTCAAGAGTATGACAACAACAACATGGCAGTTAACACTATAATTGAGAGGGCAGCCTCTGCTGCCTGTGGAAATATCATCTTCTCATCATGTGGGACTTCAACCACGGAAGGATTGACTGGGAGAACAAGGAATCGCATGGAGGCGAGGATACGTGGAGAGCCAAACTATTGGAGGGGGTGACTAGAAACTTTCTAACCCAGCATGTCAGAGAATTCACAAGGATGAGAGGCAATGACGAACCAGCGAGACTCGACCTGGTCTTCACTCTAAACGACTCCGAAATAAGAAAAATCGGCTTTGAGACCCCAGTAGGAATGAGTGATCACAGTGTACTGGCGTTTTCAGTACCACAGGGGTACTGAAAACAAAAGGCTGTCATTCCGAAAGGGAAACTATGAGGAGATAAGAAAATTCTTAACAGATACAGCATGGGAACCAGAGTTCAGGGGAAAGACGGCCCAAGGCATAATGGACTACATCACGTAGAAGTGCAAGAAGCAGCAAACAAGTTTGTCCCAGTCCAAAAGGAAAACAGTGAAATGAAGATGAGAAACTTATGGTTTAATCATAGATGTGGGCTAGCTAAGCAGCAAAGTAAAAGGGCACGGAGAAACTATAGGAATAGCAAGACACTTGAGAGCAGAGAAAGATACCAGAGTGCCAGGAATGAATATGTCAGGATGAGAAAAGAGGTAGAAAGACAATACGAAAATGACATCGCAAGGAAGGCAAAGACTCAGCTTAAATTGCTGCATAGCCACATTAGGAGAAAAACAACAGTAAAGGAACAGGTTATGAAATTATGGATAGGGGCAGAAGGATTCGATACAAACGACAAGGAAGTGTGTGAGGAACTGAATAAGAAATTCCAGGAGGTCTTCACCTTAGAGGAAGGAGAAATTCCAGAGATAAGACAGTGAATAGTTAACCAGGAACCACTGGAAGAGTTTGAGGTTACCAGTGGGGAAGTAAGGAAGTGCTTAATAGAGTTGGATGTGACAAAGGCTATAGGCCCAGATGGAATCTCCCCTTGGATACTAAAGGAAAGAGCAGTGGAACTGTGCCTGCCACTCTCCATAGTGTATAACAAATCACTGACAACAGAGGAACTGCCAGATATTTGGAAAGCAGCTAACGTAGTCCCGATATACCAGAAAGAGGATAGACAGGAGGCACTGAACTACAGGCCAGTGTCCCTAACCTGCATACAATGCAAGCAGATGGAGATGATTGTGCAAAGAAAGCTAGTGGAACATCTGGAGCGAAGGAACTTTGTAATACAGCATCAACATGGGTTCAGGGCAGACTGCATATTTTTGGATTGTCAGACAGCCTTTGACACAGTACCACACAAGAGGCTAGTGAAAAAGCTGGAGATGCAGGCTGGAGTGAAATGGAAGGTACTCCATTGGATAAAGGAGTACCTAAGCAACCAACAGGAGACAACGAGTCAATGTAAGGCGTGAGGTCTCATATTGGCGAGACGTTACAAGTGAAGTTCCGCTGGGGTCAGTCCTTGGACCTATACTGTTTCTGATATATGTAAATGATCTCCCAGAGGGTATTGAATCGTTTCTCTCAATGATTGCCGATGATGCAAAAATTACGAGGAGGATTGAAACCGAGGATGATAGTAGGAGGCTACAAGATGACCTGGACAGACTGAATGAATGGTCCAACAAATGGCTACTAAAGTTCAAGCAAAGTAAATGCAAGGTAATGAAACTAGGCAGTGCAAACAGGAGGCCAGACACGGGATACAGAATAGGAGATGAAATACTTAATGAAACGGACTGAGAGAAAGATCTAGGAGTTGATTTCACACCAAACCTGCTCATGAAGCCACAATAAAAAGAATTTCGTCTGCGGCATATGCGAGGCTGGCTAACTTCAGAACAGCTTTCAGGAACCTGTGTAAGGAATCCTCCAGAACCTTGTATACCGCATATGTATACAAAATCAGATATTATGTACCTAACTCTGCTCTCATCTTTCTATATTATGCACTAATCTATCCCTATTTTAATTATGGTATGTGCATGGGGTTCAACCACTGCAAACCACCTCAAGTCAATCATAACCCAGCAAAAATCTGCTATCAGAATAATAACAAATTCTGCTTTCAGACAACACTCTGTCCCCTTGTTTAACTCCCTAAACATGCTAAACATAATCTCACTCCACAAATTCTTTTGTGTCAACTACATTTACAAAACCCTGTTCTTAAATGCAAATCCTGCTCTGAAACTCTCCCTGGACAGATGTAATAGGACCCATTATCACCACACCAGAAATAAATATCTCTTTGATATCCCCAGAGTCAAACTTAATCTGTGTAAACACTCTATGCAAATAAAGGGACCCAGTCTATGGAACTCACTCCCTATTGAATTGAAAAGCTGTCCAACTTTTGAGTCATTCAAAAACATTACTAAAAAGTACCTAATTTTATCTTCATAGTTTTTTACCTTTTGCTTTAAAATTGCACTGTATCTATTGCTACCCAATCTCCTAATCTTTATGTACCCAATCTGAACATCTTTATCATTGTGATCATTGCTGTCTTCTTATATGTGCTGTCAATCTGCTGTATGGTGTCTATTAATCTTGTTTAAATTACCAATCAAGCTGTCAATGTAATCAATCAGAGCTTTAATATACCAATGTGCTTTAATATACTTACTAATCTCTCTCATCTCATTTTTTTTTCTTGCAATGTATTTGTTATCATTTTATTAATTGTGATAGAATTTACCTTCTTAAAATTATCTGTTAGATTAAGGACCTGCCCGAAACACTGCGCGTACTAGTGGCTTTACAAGAGTGTAAATACTGTACTATGCTAT